CAAATCAGTCTTAACCTTCCATTGCAGTCCTAGTCTTTACCTTTTCTGTGCAATCAAAAATAAAACAGGTATACAAATAAGAATTGCTAGGCAATAATCACTTGCACTCTAAAGATACTAGTACTTTTAGACAGGAATGGACTTCAATTAAACAGTCTTACAATGCACCCCTAACCATAATAAGATACAAGCTGTTGTGCTGGAGGCCCAGTTTCCACAGGGTGCTTGGGCGGTGAACGTTTTCTTGGCGATCTGTTGACAGGATTTCTACCGTAGGGACACAACTGAACATTTAGACACTGGCTGCACTTCGGGCTGACGGGCAGGCATATCTTCTGACCTAGCCCCACCAACAGCTCATTTGTCTCTGCCCACAGTTCCTCAGGTAGCCAGGATTCTAAGGCTAAACGAGTCTTCTCTGGATTTTTTGTAGTTTCCCCTGTCCATCCTAACCGGTTGGTGATGCGATGAACATGAGTGTCAACACCTGTGGCAAAAGGAATTTTTTAATAACAAGCAAGTACATATCTTTTGTCAGATACTGGTATTCAGAGAGTGTTTTGCAAATATTTCATTACATTGTAAAATCATTCACTCTAGTTTGTAACAATAACACAAGGCCAAAGAAGGAGAATTCTGCCAGGACCACCAAAACTAGCTTTTTTGAACAACCCACCATGATACTTTCACTGTATGACATTTAAAATCTCATCTACTATATTGGAAATAAATGAAAACCTTAAATCCTTTGGATAATTTTAAGAAGAGTGGGCATTTCCTGCAAGAATGAGGTACAGGGCAATACTATATTTTGGGATTCACATTACAAGTTGCATTTTTGAACTGTATACAATGAAACTTTTACTGCCTCATATTTACACCTTTGGCTCTCATTAGGAAGTATATAAGCTCTCCATTCCCAGGGATATGAGGGTGCAAGGGATTCTATGAGTATTGGGTCAAGCCACATGGAATATATCGCTATACCAGTATTACTATTACTAATACAATTACTGCTAGTAGTAGTAGTAGTAGTAGTAGTACTATTACTACCACTACAAATACAACTACTACTACTACTACTACTACTACTACTACTACTACTACTACTACTACTACTACTACTACTACTACTACTACTACTACTACTTTAACAATAATAATAATAATAATAATAATAATAATAATAATAATAATAATAATAATAATAATAATAATAATAATAACAATAATAATAACAATAATAATAACAATAATAATAACACCAATAACAACAACAATAATAATAATAATAATAAAAAATATAATAATAATATCAAAACACCAAAAAGAATAACAAATTCTTAATATTTACAAAAAAAACAACATATCAACATCCTCTAAATCATAGTACACCAAAAAAGTTCCCTTACAAATGCCAGACAGTTTCCCCCAGCCGAGGCTCATGCAGAGATGCGACATCTTGGGTCCAACACCAGGCAGTTTGCGCATCTCCTCCAGTGTGGATGGTATATCTCCACCATACTCATTTTTCAAGATCTTACAAGTCTTCTTGATGTACATAACTTTCTTCTGCAATCATAGAGGAAAAAGCAGATAATTATTGTAATTTTCTCATTATAGTCCTTAGATGGTATAACTTCTGAACTTTTGTTTATTAATATAAGCCAAAGAATGGATAAGGAGATTAATATATATATATATATATATATATATATATATATATATATATATATATATATATATATATATATATATATATATATATATATATATGTATATATATATATATATATATGCATATATATATATATATATATATATATATATGCATATATATATATATATATATGCATATATATATGCATATATATATGCATATATATATGCATATATATATATATGCATATATATATATATATATATATATATATATATATATATATATATATATATATATATATATATATATATATATATATATATATATATATGCATATATATATATATATATATATATATGCATATATATATATATATATGCATATATATATATATATATATATATATATATATATATATATATATATATATATATATATATATATGCATATATATATATATATATATATATGCATATATATATATATATATATATGCATATATATATATATATATATATATATGCATATATATATATATATATATATATATATATATATATATATATATATATATATATATATATATATATATATATATATGCATATATATATATATATATGCATATATATATATATATATGCATATATATATATATATTAAATATATATATATATATATATATATATATATATATATATATATATATATATATATATATATATATATATATGCATATATATATATATATATATATATATATATATATATATATATATATATATATATATATATATATATATATATATATGCATATATATATATATATGCATATATA